CGGCAGTGGTAGCCAGGCACCACCTAGCTCTTCTTGGTCTCAGGAAGAGGCCACTGCCATCAGGTCAATTCCAACTCACAGTGGCCCCACAGGACAGCGCAGAGCTGCCTCTGTGGGTTCCTGAATCCAATGGCTGGGTTCAAATCCCAGTTCGGCCACTTACAGACTCAGTGACTCTCAGGCTCTGTCCCCTCATGCGTAAAAGGCAGAATGATGATGACGATGACCTATGGACAAATGTGCTTGACACGGTGGATGGATGGATTGCAATCAGTGCTGTAAGAGCCCCCCATAAAGTGACATAAATAAATATATCATCTAACCTTTAAAAAAAGAAAGACGAGAAACCACAAGGACAACGGATTGCCACAGCATCCTCGAACCTGAGACCAAGAACAACTAGATGGTGCCAAGAACAACGACCTGCTACCAACCACACCTACCTAGACTTCCAGAGAAGGTCCCAAGGACGAGTGAAAGAGTGCAGAAGATAATTCACTGTGTGTGTGTGTGTGTGTAGGGGGTGGGGGTGGGGACGGGACCAGATTTACTGATCTGAAAGACAGAGGGGGAACCCCTAAGACCAGGACCCCAAGAGAGCCTTTTAGCTGGGCACTGCAGACACTTCCAGTGAAGCCACAGCATAGCTGGGACTTCAAAGCCAGCACCGTCAGAAGAAGATGCTGCTGAGAGCAGTCAACGCGATGAGACCAGAGAGCCTCGCGTGTTGCCGAAGCCCAGAGAGAAAGGCAGGGAGGGATGGGAAACTGGATGAAGGGGAGCAGGACCCCAGTGGGGAGACGGGGAGGCTGCGGATGCGTGGCCAGGATGGCCACCAATGTCACAGAGCCATCTGTGTGCGAATCACTAAGCGGAAAACACTTTGCCGTGTCAACTTTCCCCCAAAGCCCAGGACAATGTTAAAGAGACAAACGGGCAGAGCAGCTGAGCTGCTGCCTCGGTCAGAGGAAGTGAGGGGTTGGGTCGACGCCACCTAGCCCCTGGGGTGACCCTGCTGGCATGTGAAACACCGGCGACATCAGCTTTCAGCATCACAGCCACCGCAGCACGACGCACTGACAGACGAGCGGTGGTCAGTCTGCTGCACAAGACCTCTTTGGGATATTGAAAAGTAAGGGTGCTCACGTTAGAGGCTAAGGTGCCTGTGACCCAAACCAGGGTACTTCTGGTCACTTCGGATGCACGTGAAAGGTGGACACTGAATAAGGAAGCCCGAAGAAGAATCGGTGCGTTTGAACGGTGGTGTGGAGAAGACCACGGACTGCCAAACGGACACACAAGTCTGTCCTGGAAGAAGGACAGCCGAATGCTCCTTGGAGGCAAGGATGACGAGACTGGGTCTCACATGCTTTGGACATGTGGCCAGGAGAGGCCAGTCCCTGAGAAGGACATCGTGCTTGGTAACGTGGAGAGGCAGCAAAACAGTGGTGCCAGGCATTTTTTATTCTGCTGTGCGTGGGGTTGCCGTGGGTCATAACCCACTCAAGGCACCTAACAAGAGCACCCCCACCCCCGGGGGGCCAGAATCTTGCCTGATGGGCCGGCCCAGCTGCTTGGTGCTGCCTTCACATCTCTTCTGGCCTTCCTCGTTGACCGAAAGCACCTGGCCGATAGAGAGGGAGCTGGGAGGC